GAAAGAAAGAAAGAAAGAAAGAAAGAAAGAAAGAAAGAAAGAAAGAAAGAAAGAAAGAAAGAAAGAAAGAAGGAAAGTCTATTGAGTTGATTCTGACTCATGGCACTTTTACGGACATCAGAGCACAGCTTTGTTCTACCAGATTTTCTTCTTTTTAAAAATTATTGGTCTGCATATAATTATTCCTATATATTGGGCTTTGTTCATGCATGTATGTTGTGTTTGACATAACCGTTCTCATACATTGCTTTATGTAATATGTTATATTTATCTGTGCCTTTTATCAAGAAATCTCTTCAAGTTCCCATTGCATCTCTCCTATCCCCTCACCCTCTATCAGCCCACTAACTCTGCTATCTTAGTGTTTCCCCATCCCCTTTCCTCTGCCCTCACCTCTCCTTCCCATTCACCTTCCCCTCTTGAATATTTATACATATCTTGCTCAGTTATCTTATTTTCAAAAACAGTTTTGTGTAGTAATTGTCTTTTTATGACAGAGCTGTTTCACTCATCATAATGCCCTCTAAACTTCCTCGTGTTGTGTATTATTTTATATGTTGTTGTTGCTGTTTATTGCTGCATAGTATTCCACTGTGTGGATGTACCACAATTTCCCTGTCCATTCATTTGTTGATGGACAGTTGAGTTGCTGCCATCTTCGTGCTCTTGTAAATGCTGTGATGAACTTAGGTCTGGAGGAACCTGGTCTGGAGCGTGGGACAGAATCAGTCTAGAGAAAGAGATGAGGTTTGTGTGCATCGAGACCTGGACATGAGGAGCCCAAATCAGGGCATCCTGAGTCTCTGGTCCCATCGGGATGAGAAGCACAGACACACTTGTACAGTGGGTCAGGTTTGGTTCCGGGTCACTTCAGGGAGGTGAAGATCCCAATAAGGCCAGCCACATGGACGTGGGGTTCTCCCAGTGCATGGAAGTTATGTTGACACTATAATATTGTCAAGTAAGTGTGCAATAGCATTACAAAACAATTTAAATATTATAAAAATTCTCAAAAATATGACAGAGATACAAAATGAGCATGTACTGCTGGAGAACGGCGTCGGTAGACTTGCTCAGGGCAGGGTTGCCACAAGCACCGGATTTGTAGCATGTCAGTGTCTTTGGAGAGAACTAACGCAAAGCACAAAGAGGCCAGAGCTGCCTATGTGGATCGTGGACGGTGCAGACATCCTGCTGGGCACATGGGCTCACTTCCCTCTGAGCCGGAAGTGGGAGACCAGGCCTCTGGGTCATCGGGGCCTGACGACAAACAGACCTGGGCTGAAGAAGAGGAACCCTGGACTTGAGGGTCTCTGAGTAAGCCTGCCACTGCTCTCTAATCTGTGTCGCCATGACGCTGGCCTCCCTGCATTAACTGTAGTCTCAGATGACCTCACCTCTGCTTTAACCTCCCTCTGTGTAAACACTCTGTGGTTTTTTTCCTGATTAATCACTGCAGAGAGCAATCAGCCTCCAGAATTCTTGGCTGTCTCTCAGTTCGGACCTTAAAGCACAGTGCGGCCTCTCAGGGTCCCTGGGACTTTCTCTTGTGCTGAAGCAGCTCGTGGCTTGGAACCATCGCCCTTTTGGTTAGCAGCCAAGTACCTTAACCACTGTACTTGCTGGGCTTCTGAGAAACCCACCAGCCAACACTTACAAAGACAAATCCCCTACTATTCCAGTCTAGAGACAAAGAGGGGACAGGGCTAGGGAGTAACCCCTTTCCCACACTCACCCCCATTTCTGTCACATGCTGTCAGAGTTGAAGGGGTCACATTCTTGAACTCGTCTCTGTGTCAGAGCACGCCTCCTTTACCACTGCCCATCACTCTGAATCCTTAGATTACAGTATCATCCTGGGGCTGGGAGTGGTGGTGGTCGTGGTAGGGCATCTGTGAGGGATGAATTGTAGACATGTTTTAGGACATGATGCACTTGAATCACCTGGATGTGTTGGACTGGGATAGAGAAGAGCAAAGCGGTAGCAGTGTCTGTGGCCTGAGTATCAGCCTGCTGGGACAGCTTGAAAGTCAGGGACGTGGAGAGGGTTAGCATTAGAGCAGAGAGGAAGCAACGCATAGCCCCTGATCCCAAGAGTGTTCAGAGTAAACCGTAGGGCAATAGCTCCCACTCCACTCCGTGGTCTTTTCTCCCTTTCATGTTTTCTAATGTCTTTGGTTTCCTCTCTATATGGTTTTACTGGATAAGAAGTATCTTACTGGCAATACATGAAACAGATTTTCTGGTTTTAAAAAAATAAGTTTTTCTTTGTTGAAATATGTCAATCTGTATGTCATCAATTTCTGGGGTCTTGGTTTTTTGCCAGTTCTTTCAGAGCAGCTTGAACTTCCTCCTTCATCATCACAGGCTCTCCCTTCTACGTTGTTTCATTAAATTCTTCTGTGTCCACCAATTCCTTTTGGTACAACGACTCTGTAGACTCTTTCCATCTTCCTGTAATGCTTCCAGGATCATTTCATATTCTGCCCAAAGCATCCTTAAGTATTACAACTTGAGGTTTGAATTTGTTCTTCAGTTCCTTCAGTTTAAGAAATGCTTTTCTTTAAAATGCATGTTTTAAAGCGTGTTGTATGTGACCACTGGGGAGCCAGTGTTTATACAATAATGCAAACAATTTTAGGCTGAGCTTGGCTCACACTGGAAACTGGTCAGAACAAGTCCTGAGTTTCTGAGGAGTCCAACTGCCAGACACCAGCTTGTAACTTACTCCCCTCCTCTGAATGGGGAGATGCAGGGTCCCTACCTGAGCTGTTGTGATCGTCTAGGGGCAGCAAGATGTGAACCAAGGGGCCATGGAAAAGTTGCCCAGAGGGAGGAGATGGGGCCAAGGAACAAAGACACCATTCCAGTGGAGTAGAGACCAAAAGGTCAGACCAAAACCAGGTCCAGCAAAAACTTGTAAACAAACATGACCAAGAGAGACTGAGTGTGCAGACCGTGGGTGTGGAGTTACTATGTGCTGGGGAGAGATGATCTTTGGCCAAGAAGAAGATTAAACAGAAGGATAACTAGTAAGATGTGTACAAAAGTCCAAAGATGGAACAGAGAGAAGAGAGGGGCTGGAAATGAGGAGGGGACATCTCGAGGCCACATTTTGGTGGGCAGAGGGAAGGGCTGGAGGATTTAGGAAAGATTCAGTAGAGATTTGAAAAGATGAAGTAATAGTGGACATAGATCAGTAGTGATTAATTTAAAAAAAAACAATATATGGAAATTACCTTATGAAAATACAAGTAAAAGAATGTGTGAAACACAATGTATATGGATTTTGTATGTAAACCCATATAAAATACAAATGATTTTTTTAAAAAAAGATTTATACTGTGGTTGTTATGTGCCATTGAGTCACCTGCATCTCATAGTGACACACAATAGGTCTCAACCCTGTCCTATGCTGAGCCAATCTCACTATCTCCAACACACTTGCCCCTACTACCCCAGTCACGATGTCAATCCATCTCATCCAAGGTCCTCCTCTCTTGCGTTGTCCCTCCACCATTCCAAGCATGATGTCCTCCAGAGACTGGTCCCTCCTGGCCACGTACCCACAGTATATGAGACAGAGCTTCAAGATAAACTGATCAAGTGTTTGAAAATTGGAAAACAGAGTAAACAGAGGACAAAGAAGAAGTTGGGAGAGCAAAAACTAGATTTTACAAGACATCTAATAGCTTGAGGAAAATTACTGTCCCTGACCCAATACTCCTTCACCAACCAAATTGGAGTAAGAAGCTTGGCCCGGGGATTTACAATGAAGTGGACAAACTAGAATTATCTATCAGTTGTTGTTGTTGTTATGTGCCATCGAGTCACCTGTGACTCATAGCGTAGCAACCCTATGCAAAACAGCCCTACACACTGCTATATCCTGTGCCAATCTTATTGTCTCCAACACACCTATCCCCATTACTCCAGTCACTGAATCAATCCACCTCATTTAGGTTCTTCCTCTCCTGCACTGTTTTTCCACCCTCCCAAGCATGACATCCCTCTCCAAGGACTGATTACCCCTTGCAACATGTCCCAAGTATGTCAGACGAAACTTCAGAATCCTTGCCTCCATGGAGCAGCCTAGCTTCACCTTCTCCAGGACAAACGTTTTTGTTCTCCTAGCAGTATATTCAATACTCTTCCCCAACACCACAGCTCAAAGGCATCAATTCACCTTCTATCATCCCTAGTCATTGTCCAGCTCTCTGATGCATAGCAAGTAATTGCGAAGATCATGGCCTTTATCAGGTGCACCTTAGTCTCCATACTGACATCATTGCTCTTCAGTACTTTGGAGAGGTCTCTCCAGGACTACTAATATTAAAGGATTTGATTAGAGAGGAGAGGAGGAGCTTAGGTTGCTAGGCCATTGATATATCAAGTGGTCAAGATATCATGATGTTTGCTTTCAATTTTGTTAGAAAACCCCTGCTGCCCTGTGTATAATATGAAATGTCCATCAACAAACAAATGAATGGATTAAGACATTCATACAGTGGAATACTATGCAGCACCAAAGAACACAACTTTGTAAAACTCTATATAACGTGGTAGGGTCTACAGAAAATTGTGCTGAGTGAAGTAACTCCATCAATAAGGACAAATCCTGCACAAGACCATGGTTGTGGAAATAGGAGGACAATAAGAAAACATGAGATGCACACATTCCGAGGCCACCTCCCACTCACCATGCTGCATTCCTTCCCAGCGCCATGAAGGCGGTGTCGGCAGAGAGGAGTCTCATCTTGTCCCGTTCCACTTTTCCTGGTTCTGGCAAGTTTGCTGGTCATTGGCTCGGCGATAATGTGGCTTCATGGGATGACCTCCTGTGGTCCATCCCCAGCATCCTCGAGTTCAACCTGTTTGGGATCCCTCTGGTGAGTGAGTCTCCCTTCAAGCCAAAGATGTCTCACTATTTGTCCTTTGACATTGCTCTCAGCACTAAATCCTTCAGAGGGTCTTACAACCAAGGAGCATATGTTTTACCACTATTTGTGCTGGGGGTGGTGGTGGTGGTGGTATTTATCTAGGTTACCTGAACTAAAGCTAGAATGGTAAAACATAACCATTGGCTTGGCACCCATGGACCCTCTGGGCTTAGAAAAGAGAGACTATCCAGGAGTAAAATGTGCTGGTACCACAGAGCAATCCCACCAGGAGGACCAGAGTGTGGCAAGTGTGAAACCAGGAAATGAATCTGAGGACAAGCCCTCCATACAATGGCCAGTGTCTGTACCCTGTTCAGTGTCCCCTGCTCAGTGTCCTGGGATGTATACTTGCCTATCTTCCTGGTTTCGTCTGGAGCTTGTTTAATCATGGTAGTCTAGGGAGAAGCAATCCCCACTTCCCTCTCTCCCTGCTCACGATGTGTGTGTGTGTGTGTGTGTGTGTGTGTGTGTGTGTGTGTGTGTGTGTTTTCACTCTCCAGGTAGGCGCCAATATCTGTGGTTATGAAGGACATGCCACAGAGGAACTCTGTCGAAGATGGATGCAGCTTGGAGCATTTTATCCTCTCTCTAGGAATCACAACGGGCCTGGCTTCAGGGTAAATTCCCCTTAAAAGTGGTGGGAACTTCCTGAGTTAGTTTTCAAAGAGGAATTGAGGAAATTCCTGTAGCTCATTCCTAGCACAAGAGCAGAACAGGTGAATGTCACAGATGCAGGTTATGGAGCAGCCTTGTGGTACCAGGTTAGTGTGTGGGGAAGGGTTTCATTGTTGGAAACTCTCAACCTTGCCCTCCTCCTCATTCTCTCCCTTTACTGCTCCTCCTGGACCCCCTCCTCCTCCTCTGCTCCGCCTTCCCGCCTCCTTCTTCTCCTGTCTGAGTCTCTTCCTCCTCCCCTTCTTTCTTCTTTAGCTCCCTCTCTTCCTTTTCCTGTTCAA